AGGATTTTTTTCACGTACATGTCTGTAATATGAAGCATTTTAAAGGCAGTCAATTTAAATACCAGTACATGTACTTATTATACAAAGATAATAATTATCACCGTGTACTGTATCACGAAGTTTGAGAAAAAGTATTTAAATTGGACGGGTCACAATATTTGTGTGAAACTTGCAGTCCTGCTGCTGTAGTGTACAGTCCACAGTCTCAAGTATATACTGCAAGATCTGTGGACTAAGCCCTGTGATATTTATGCTTACCCATTCATAACAAAAAACAATAACATTCTTTGATAAAGAGCCAACTCGGTATGTTAGCCAGGATGAGCCATGATAAGACAGCTCGCCAGACAAGAAGAAATATAAGATCTGTAAGCCGATATACATATAGCATTTAGATGTCCAAATATTTTCCATGAGGTCAACAGTTGTAAAGGGTAATATGCCTGGAATGTGTATTGATACAATGTATAATACAAAGGGAAGAATTTACATATATATATATATACACAGGCATTTCATCGTAGCATTATAATAAATTATTACCGGTTTTTTCCCTTCATTTCTTTTTGTTCTGCTGTCATATTGCCTCACAGCTAACGTTGTCCAATGTTGTAGTTATGTGATATAGGAACCATTATTACACAAGCATGTGGTGGTGTAATGTATATTTACGTACACCGGTACATTGTGAAGCCCGGCCTGCCAGATTAGCTCTCCTCACCACGGCCCACACAACAATGCAAGGGCAACAGACATCTATAGTCATCAGACAATCTGGTGATAGTAATATGTCTTTACAGTGATCTATATAGGTATTAATATTACACAATCATTCATCAACTAATATGTTCTATAAATTCTCACCGCTGCATTTTAACTCCAATTAGCCTATAATCAACACTACAGACTTCTCTTGTTACTGTCAGCAAGCCTCGGTACATGTTTCATTGTGTACGACACAATACAAATAATTCTGCAGGGATATGTGTATTTAAATTTAAATGCTATTCAATATCATTTTAATAGGACAAATATCAAAAGAAATTTACTGACTGGATTTCTCTTTGTAAAATAAGCATATACTGATGTTATATCAAATTAACAATGCCGTAAAAAAATGCAAGGCCAATTTAGTAATCATAACACATATAGCAACTTATAAATATAAGCCAAAATAAAAAAAATATTGTGTTTCCCCTAACACTACCTACCTAATATGAAGGAATATGTCATTATATCAATGTAACAGACTCGAGCTCTGATACAAACATTTCCAAAATTTTGAAATAATTTAGAAAATTATGATTATATATAAAAGTAATTGAAGAACATACTTGATGGAAAACAGGCAATTCAGGAGTTGACACTTTTGATTTAATTTACATTCTGTATGTAGGTTGTTTAATATTTTAAATGTTGAATGTCCATGATCATTGTACAGAAATTAGTTGGCTATAGCTATATAGCCAGGTTTGTATTATACATTTGTACATTATTTCCACTAGTATATGTAGATGATCATGATCATTGGACAGAAATTAGTTAGCTATAGCTATATAGCCAGGTTTGTATTATACATTTGTACATTATTTCCACTATCTAGTAGATGATCATGATCATGACATACCAAATATACTGATATATGCATATAGATTAATTACACTTCATATCCAATGATTTGTAAAATGCTAACCAAAGGAATGCATAATTTACATACCTGAGCATTCAGGTCATGACTTAGATTTACATAGAGCCTTCTACAAAAGACTGGAAGGACCATTACGACCTGCTGTCTCATTATGTATGTGAGATTGTGATCTAGATCTATCTGACAAGTTTGATTACAGGGTTGTCTCTAATAAAAAGTGTACATAATTGTCAAAAGTTACTGATCCCACGTCAACAGTTATGAAAAAGTGTATATGAACCAGTTCACAGAGTTCTATATACTATATCTGCTACGACCTGTATTTTACCCTTTATGCTGTATACATATTAATCTGACACTCTGTGGGATCTAACACATTGCTCAAACAAGACAGGTTGTCTTAATACACAGGTTTTATTAGGAAAGTGTTTTCATACACTGTAAAACTGATCATGATGATATATATACATAACAAGATGTTCATATAATCAGGAATCAAATAAGATGGGTCAAAATTGTAATAAGTTCATTTTTTCATAGGCAAACATAAATTTGTATGCTTTTTATCCTTTTGTTTTTGCACTTTTCTTTTATTAACTGAGAAATAATCATAGCAAAACTATACAAAAACTGCATGCATTGCAGGGCAAGTACACAATATCAAAAATGATTTCAGTATATAAACTGCTAATTTTTCCACTCCCAGAATGTACTATTGAAAGGCATTAATTTAATATATAACATGAATTTGAACCAAGTATGTATACCCATACAGTACATTATTAATTACAATATTCCTTTTCATTGGATACCTTTATTAATTAATTTGAAACAGCATGAAATACCAAAAACACAAGTTAATGGATATTTCATCAACTTTGATAACTATTTAATATTATTGATAATACATTAGATTTTGATATATATATAAATCAATTCAAGTTATATTACCATATATAAATACAAAATAATTAAAATTACAAAAAGTCATTTTGGAAAAGGTAATGTCTCTTGAGAAAACAATTCTATTCAAAATACAAATGCTTTATATATGTAACTCTTTATCCAGAAATTTATTTACATTACCTTATATCTTGTATTTAAGATTTAAAAACAATTAATTTATAACCTATAGGTATCAAATTATATTGTGTATTTTTTTTTTTGAAGTTTAGTGGAGCAGTTATATGTAGGGTGATTCAGCTAGCCCTTAACAAAATCTACTAGCCTCTGATCACTAGAGGGTTAACGTGTGTGTTAGTGTCGAACCCTGATTGTGGTAGAATATAGTATAGTAACAAATAACAATTTACAAAACATATGTGCATGACATCATGCAGCTACAACCTGTGAAGAACACTGCAATGACGGAATGGAATACCTTGAGGAGTACTTTAATCCAAGTTTGTTATTCAGACTGACAGGATACATATACAACACTAATAATATCTTTTGGGGCTAGAATATTTGAATATCTTCTAAAAACCTGCCCTTTCTTTTGGGGCTAGAATATTTGAATATCTTCTGAAAAAACTGCCCGACTGTTGCTAGCCTGGATTTCGGACAGCTGCCATAAGTCAGCTGCTGGGGAGCGAAACGAAGTAGGGATGGGTTCATGAGAGGACTGCAGTAGTTCACTACTGAAGGCATATGAGGGTCCTCCTCCCAAAAACTTTTTATAACTAGTAGCAATTCCTTGCATTCTGAGCATATTTCACACCTAAAACTTGTGAAAATTTGCATTTACGTGAGAAAATTATGGTTAAAAAAATACAGCTCTGACAGACTGACATATCATAATACATGATGATTCTTTTCATTTAGCAAATTAATGCTTTATCAATTTGTTGACATATATTCCAGCAACTGGGAAAAACTTGCACCTACAAACATTTAAGTACACATTCTTTTTTCTTCTTAAAATTCCAAGTTATACGATATATAGACATATTTATAGTGCAAGCAGACAATTAGGACGGTCATAATTCATCGAAAAACCAGTGTATATCTCATCAACATGCAAGAAAACTGTATTGCATCGCATACAAAAATGCAATATACATGAATAAAGGCATCACATTTATTTCAAACTTAAATTTCATTTTATAGTTGAAGCTAGGTGTTTTACTTTGCATATTACTACACAGTAAGATTAGATATACATGTACTGCAAACTATACATGCTATTATTTAGTATTGTGAATCTGTTAAAATTTCAGTTAATGATTGATTCACTAAAATTTTAAATCTGCATTATGTATATCCAGGCAGCAATTTGACAACACATATTTCTATACATGTACTTCTACAATATATTGGGATACACTGCAGGAATACAGTATAGGCACCTTTTACCCACAGTTGAGTAAGTCTTGTTAGCAGGGTTTCACCAGACAACTTGCTTGCTTAGATTGCATATCAATACAAACCCTTTCTTTGCACCCAATCCCAAAAAAACAAGACATCTTCGTTTGTATGAATACGTTTTGGGTACTGACATACAACGATTTGGTACTTTGACTAACATTTCAACTTCACATTTTGTTTGATTTTGGTGTCCAGTGTGCTCTTAATTTAAATATATAATGAAGATTTATCAGCATTTTTGTGTATGCAAAAAGTACTGAAACATCATATTCTTCATTTCATGCTTGGGTATATGGATCCGAAACAAATTTACCCCCCCCCCCCCCCCNCCCCATGTTATTTTATACCATTAATCAAGCAGTATGACCTTACTAGCTTCGTATGCTCCTTCACATAACAGAATCTTCAACTTGTTGACAGTGGTCATTATCCAATAGAATTACAATAGTCATGTCAGGGGTGGTGAACAAACTGACGTGCACATATATAATGCTTGTGAAATTTGTTGATCTTTTAGTTTGTGAACCCTTATATTATATTACTATCACTGCATATCAAATCATTTTTGGTTATTTGTCTGTCTAACTGTAGGTATGCACAAACAAACGGTAGTCATTGTCCATGCATGCCAATGTCATTTACACTGATGTTCTTGTAGTTAGCCTAATCATGTGTAACATAATATTGAAAATCCCCCCCCCCCCCCCCCCCACATTCTCCATCTCGTGTAATCAGCTGGTACAATAACATTGAACAATACACGAATCAACAGGTGGCCACATGTTTAGAATAACAGGTTGCTGTAACATTTGAGGGTGAAGAGGCCGCATGGTAAGCAACCCCCATCAAGGTATGCTCCTTGAGACAGTGTGCTCACTCAACCGTCAAAGTAGGCTGGAGCTATCAAACCGGGCCAAAGAAAGCCATAACACCCTCTAACAAGAATAAAGATATATCTATAGAACGACATATATAATCATTTTACCTGTCGAAATTTAGGTCCAACGTATATGCGAAAATGCATAGCGATCCAACATTGTAATCAAATAGCACATAATAGTCACATCGCACCCAAATTCTTCACATTCCGAACTTCTTTGTAGATTTTCGCTTCACACAGGCCGATGAGCCTCGTTTTCCAACCAAACATAATCTCGAATCTACCTGTTGGCATTGCATTCCTTATTCAACAAATCAAGAAAGACAGTCTCCTTTTTGCAATCGTAATAGGAAAAATAATTAAATCTTCTACTTTGCTTATTTTATTTTATCCAAATGAGGTTCTGATAATTTTATTCCATATTTTGAATATTGGTTAAAGAGTAACACTAAACTGCTTCCGGTATTTGAAGCATGGAGCGAAACGTGCTCGCCGGACAGCAGACAAACTCTGCCGTTAGCTGGTATAGCGATATGATCGCGAGATGCCCTTGATAATTGTAAAAACGTACGAATATCAACACAATTAATAGGTTATTGCAGGTTTCCAAAAACGTTCTTACGTCTGGATTAAGATAACAGTAAAAACTTCGAACACATATAGCTATGTTGACAACTTTCATTACCTGTTCGTCCCAATGTCTATTTCTACTCATTTGTACAGTGAAGTTAAATGTTGTTAAGATACCTCGAAAATCGCCGTATATGACGTATGCATGTGCACTTCTCAGTCAAGCAATACTTTAATGGATCATCCAGAAAGGGATCATGGTCCCCTCAAAGCTGAGATTGCCCCTCCTTTTTCCCTTGTTTAGTTTACATGGAATAAACCTACTTGTTTAGATAAATTGGAGATGCTGAGAATTTTCAATTGCCTTCATCTCCAAGGAGTTTCCATGCCCTAATAGTAAAAGTGGTTATAACCTGTCAAAAAATAGCACAAAGTCCCAATGGACACATCCACCTCCCCATCTGATTGTCTGGTATGGGGCCTAATATATAGGATTCAAAGATTAAAAGTTTTTAAACAGAACATTTTCGAAATGCTGAATTAACCATGATAAACCTAATGTTCATTTAAAAAGTTATGTCATTAATAAGAAATTAAGTTTAAATCACATTTTATTCATGCAAAGGAAAAGCTTAATCATCATACAGACTCAAGTGAAATAGATTAGTTCCATTTTTTATGTAAATTTTTATATGTTTTATATCATTCAGAAGGTTCGTATAGAAAGAAAAAGAAAAAATGGTTCCAAAGACACCTTTTGGTTTTATAACATTTTACTGCAGCATGTGACGTGTTACATAGTCATGTAGGGGCTTCGGAAGCATATGCATGCAATTGAATGGATTTACAACATTAAAGTTATATTTAATGCAATAATTTACATGTTTTTTTTAACAATAGTGCTGATCCATCAACATCAAGCTAACAAGATAATTGATGACAATGGAATCTGTTCTCGATTGTCTGAAGATTGAAGACAAACAAATCTTTGAAGATTTATTGGTTTACAGGTATTAAAGATAAATGTTCACAGTACATGTGCCTATAAATAAATAGCAAAAATAATTATATAAGCACATGGTTATATGCTAAAATGAAGTACCAAAGTATATCTTATCTTAAATTCAAAGATTTTTTTATGGGTTTCAAGCAAGTATTATGAATTTCCTTGGTTCCAAAGTATCATTTGAAAGTTGAAACTAAAAGTAAATTTCAAAATATATCAAGTCCCATCAGCCACAGGAAAAAACACATTAAGTCAAGAATCCAAATTATGTTGGATTTTTTAGAAATTTCTGGTAATTGGTAATTAAATGTAAATGAACAAACGGAGCTCCCATTTCCATAGAGTTCTGAGCTGTAATTGTACTTACCCTGAACTAGGCCTAGTTTACATGTTAACATACTGCTGTACTATGTTAGGTCACAGGATGTACATCGTTTGCTGAAGAGGCTGGATTCAATCCACAAAGTCCTGCAGGATGCTGATCAGCAGGGTCACTTGACAGAGATTGTACAGACCAGTACCAACCAGTTCATCAAACAAGTGATGCAGTGCTATTACAGATGTATTGAATCTATCAAGCTTGCTAGATCTGTGGAAAAGGTATGTGGTACTTGTTATGTTGATGAACATTAAGTTTCTTTGCTTGGTTCTGCCATTAAAGGGTTTGTTAAATATATGACTCGAAGATATTCAGTTATATTTACTGATGGTAACACTTTTGGATACTTGAGATATTATATTTACTGATGGTAATTACACTTTTGGATACTTGAGAGATTATATTTACTGATGGTAACACTTTTGGATACTTGAGATATTATGTTTACTGATGGCAATTACACTTTTGGATACTTGAGATATTATATTTACTGATGGTAATTACACTTTTGGATACTTGAGATATTATATTTACTGATACAGTAGCTATATAGCAACACTGTAGGATACTCCAACCCCACTAACCCCCCCAAAAAAGACTTTCACAGAAACATAATTTATTCTGCTATGTAACCAAAATCTGGTTCCTGCATTGTCATTGGTGTTGAGGTAAAAGGCAGGTGATCTATGACAACTAGACTTGAGTATTCTGTAATTTTAAATATTAAGAAAAAATGTGTTTTTTCTTTTCTAGTTTTAATTTGAATTGTTGGAAGACTTATTCAATAACTATACAATTTTTTATTCTTGTTTTTCAGTTGCTACAACCTTGGAGATTATCACACAAGGCATATATCTGTGCTGATTTGTCTGACTTTGTGCCCTCAGTTACTTCAAAGGAAAATCCAGAATTATCAAGTTTAACAGCAGGTAAAACGTACCTTTAGTCAAATTGATGCTATATAAAAATGTGTGAAACAGCAGACTTTTTCCCATGAAATAAAGCGAAATACTTCTTTTCATATTTGCGACAAGTTCTTGAAAAAAGTTACAGGGGTGAACAATATCTTTTAGAGAACTATATAGCTAGCCTGCAGGCAGATTTGAAAAAAATCTACAAGCCCACTTATATTTCATAGTAACTTTTGAAAATGTTCACCAGTCCTGACATACAAACTGCAATCCCCAGACATCAGGTTAGTTGAATTGTACACCCCTGCCTTCAATAAAACAATGAAATTTGGATGATTCCTAAACAGTTTCCAATTTACTGGAGCATAATTTGGTGGTGAAAGATGCTGTGGTGGAGAATCTTGTCCCGTTTCTTGGTTGGATAGAAGGGCGTTTAGAGATGTTGATGATAAAGTCGCCTTCAGATCTATCTACAAACGAGGCTGGGGAGCTCTATATCATGGTCAAAGTAAGTGCTTCAATGATTGCAGCTTTACTATGATTTCTGTAGATTTATCTCTTATTTCAAGACCATGGTCACCTTTTTTTTCTCAATATGAATTTTTTATCGCAGATGATAATTTTCTTGTATGTGTAGTGTGAATTCTGTGTACATCAAAGTGTGGTGAATGGTTTAATCTTCTATCTGGATACTTCTTATATGTTGAAAAATACTAACTGTTTTATCTATCCACAACAGATTGTACTTCAGGTATTTCAATCCTGTCCTCTGGGGAGAACCGTTACAGGAAACCACCTTCCCCAGTGTCACGGTCCCCAGCAACACTCTGTAGAAACAATACTGACATTCGTGTACAGAATCATGGACATTGATGTAAGCTATAGGGAAGGGTGGTTTTGTGATCAGGGATTGAGACGGAGAGGGCAGGGTAATTTGTGATCAGGGATTGAGACGGAGAGGGCAGGGGAATTTGTGATCAGGGATTGCGACGGAGAGGGCAGGGTAGTTTGTGATCAGGGATTTCGACTGAGAGGGCAGGGTAGTGTGTGATCAGGGATTAAGGCGGAGAGGGCAGGGTAGTGTGTGATCAGGGATTAAGGCGGAGAGGGCAGGGTAGTGTGTGATCAGGGATTGAGGCGGAGAGGGCAGGGTAGTTTGTGATCAAGGTTTTGCAGTAATGATATAATGATAACGAAATGACATGATACAGTTTATGACCAATGGGTCAAGTCCTTCTGGGCAGGGTAGTGTGTGATCAGGGATTGAGGCGGAGAGGGCAGGGTAGTGTGTGATCAGGGATTTAGACGGAGAGGGCAGGGTAGTTTGTGATTAGGGATTGAGATGGAGAGGGCAGGGTAGTTTGTGATCAGGGATTTCGACTGAGAGGGCAGGGTAGTGTGTGATCAGGGATTGAGACGGAGGGGGCAGGGTAGTGTGTGATCAGGGATTGAGACGGAGGGGGCAGGGTAGTGTGTGATCAGGGATTGAGACGGAGGGGGCAGGGGAGTTTGTGATCAAGGTTTTGCAGTAATGATATAATGATAACGAAATGACATGATACAGTTTATGACCAATGGGTCAAGTCCTTCTGGGCAGGGTAGTGTGTGATCAGGGATTGAGACGGAGAGGGCAGGGTAGTTTGTGATCAGGGATTAAGACGGAGAGGGCAGGGTAGTTTGTGGTCAGGGATTTAGACGGAGAGGGCAGGGTAGTTTGTGATTAGGGATTGAGATGGAGAGGGCAGGGTAGTTTGTGATCAGGGATTAAGACGGAGAGGTCAGGGTAGTTTGTGCTCAGGGATTGAGATGGAGAGGGCAGGGTAGTTTGTGATCAGGGATTAAGACGGAGAGGTCAGGGTAGTTTGTGCTCAGGGATTGAGATGGAGAGGGCAGGGTAGTTTGTGATCAGGGATTTCGACTGAGAGGGCAGGGTAGTGTGTGATCAGGGATTGCGACGGAGAGGGCAGGGGAGTTTGTGATCAAGGTTTTGCAGTAATGATATAATGATAACGAAAGGACATGATACAGTTTATGACCAATGGGTCAAGTCCTTCTGGGCAGGGTAGTGTGTGATCAGGGATTGAGACGGAGAGGGCCGGGTAGTTTGTGCTCAGGGATTGAGACGGAGAGGGCAGGGGAATTTGTGATCAGGGATTGCGACGGAGAGTGCAGGGTAGTTTGTGATCAGGGATTGAGACGGAGAGGGAAGGGTAATTTGTGATCAGGGATTGAGACGGAGAGGACAGGGTAGTATGTGATCAGGGATTGAGACGGAGAGGGCAGGGTAGTTTGTGATCAAGGTTTTGCAGTAATGATATAATGATAACGAAAGGACATGATACAGTTTATGACCAATGGGTCAAGTCCTTCTGACTTGGAATTTAACATTTAATCAACTAACACACATTGATGTAGTAAGATGCATTTTGCTAATGTATTGAAAACAAATTTTTACTAAAAATACAATCACAGATGAAATGATACTGGTATTAGATGCTATCCTTTTCCTTTGCAGGGGTATGCCACAGACTGTGTCCTGTTGGCGGGGACAACATTTTTCTATGTGTTGTCCACAGCTTCAACACCAGAGGTGACTGTGTCCACTTTCTGGTCCACATTCCTCTCTCTCAGTAATCCAGGTATTGATGTTAAAGTCACTTGATCCTTGATTTTGATGACAACAGATAGATTGGTTTTCATTAACATGGTTTATTAGATATTTTTGGAGGATATCTGATTTTTATGTAATTGGGTTCTTATGTGAAAAATATATTTCAATTATCAATACATAAATTTGTAAATCCCCAGTGCCTTCAGTCTGTTTTGAATTGTTGTGATATGTGTAATAATATCTCCTACATAAGGTAAGCGTTACCATGTTTTGTCACATAAGATATGGTTCTACAATGTACAACATTTATGGACTAGGTATTCATGAATGTCGATTCCTTTACAGATATAGAATTTTCTGTAGATGTTCTAAGGACTTCAATGTCTACACCTTGTGACCTTCTGTCTGCCACCTACAGGAAGTCACTTGGTCCTGTTTGTCTGCTCAAAGGGGTCATAGCCTGTACCTCTGCCGAAACATTGTGTCACCATGCCGACAACCAATCAAGCACCTTCATCACTGATGTTTTCCCTGTGATAATTGGATACTGCTCGGGACCAATCAACTTACACTTTCACTCGTTCAGTTTACTACTATCATGGTTTAAAAAGTTTTCCATGTGTTTATTACAAAGTACAAATTTTCATATTGAATGTCTTGAGGGAAATGACATTTTTTCTAAAACTTTGAACTTAGTGTATTTGAATTGGGACAGTCCTGTGGAAGATGTGGCAGATATAGTAGGAGAGGTATTTAGGATGCTATTGGGTTGCTGGAGTACTATCGCAACCAAATATAAAACAAGACTGACAGATTTTGACAATGACTTGCCCGGAGGAGCTTTGTCCAAACTAGAAACTACACCATGGTATGTGAAGGGGAAGTACAGGATCCTGGCCATACTTCTGTCTTATACAGACCAGGAACAGGTGAGAAACATGAAGTAGGACCTGTCATGTTTATGAGTTCATAAATATTTCAAAATGGTGTGGTATCATTTTAGAAGAGTTAAAGAATTATCAACCTTACAATTATAAACTGTGATATTAGGAATGATTTAAAAAAGATGATTACCCTAAAGCCTATCCCAGAATCATCCCACAGACACATGATTTAACTGTTTTATCCTAATGTTTTATGAATGATAAAAACATTATTGTGTGGTGGGTTTTTTAAAAGTTGATCAGGTATTTGGAAAGGATGATTTGTAATTTAGGAAGAAATTTGCAGATTTAGTACTAAAGTTACCTCATTTTGACTTGAATATGATTTTCTTATGACTATCATCCTTATAGATCCTTGTGAGATGTCCTCAGATCAGACAGCACCTACAACGGTGTATGTCCACCAACTACCTAGCTCCGTGTGGAGCAGATGTCTACAAAGCCTTTCTCCTGCAAATCAGGTAATTAGATATATACTTCTCTCACAAAATAATAGATATATACTTCTCTTACAAAGTAATAGATATATAATTCTCTTACAAAATAATAGATATATACTTCTCTTACAAAATAATAGATATATACTTCTCTTACAAAATAATGATACATACTTCTCTTACAAAATAATAGATATATACTTCTCTTACAAAATAATAGATATATACTTCTCTTACAAAATAATAGATATATACTTCTCTTACAAAATAATAGATATATACTTCTCTTACAAAATAATAGATATATACTTCTCTTACAAAATAATAGATACATACTTCTCTTACAAAATAATAGATATATACTTCTCTTACAAAATAATAGATATATACTTCTCTTACAAAATAATCAGATACATACTTCTCTTACAAAATAATTAGATACATACTTCTCTTAAAAAATAAAAGATATATACTTCTCTTACAAAATAATAGATATATACTTCTCTTACAAAATAATGATACATACTTCTCTTACAAAATAATCAGATACATATTTCTCTTACAAAATAATTAGATACATACTTCTCTTAAAAAATAACCAGATATAAACTTCTCTTTCAAAATAATCAGATTTATACTTCTCTTCCAAAATGATATTGTTATGCTAGATAGTAAATATAAATATGTGTGATGTGAAAAATGATAAGATGTGCTATGGGTGATAACTCCCACTGATTCTCCCAGTAAAAAAATATCATTACCACTTTTTTTGGATTGGTTAAACTTGGCAGTTTCAGTTTGTTTTTATAAGCAAACCAGGCAGGTACATTTAAGGTTTTATGAAACCATATAGGTAAACTGAGTGATTTTTTTAATAGGAAAAGGAGTAAAGAAGAAGTGATTGATGTGTGGAGCACTGCCTGGCTGGATACCATGATACAGAGTCTGACCAGCAACAACATGTAAGTCACAGAAAGGATTTTTTACTGTTTATTTACTTTCTTTTTCAAATCGTGTAATTTCCTGGGGGGGTTTTGGGAAAACAAAAAAACATTTATGAAGAATTGAATTGACAAGGTGTGTGGTGCTGATGTCACTTGTCTGCCTAACTTCACAGTTATGTTTGGTTTTTGGATTTACCATAAATACTACAAAGGTAAAAATGCAAAAAAAATATCTACAAGCTTTTGGGGAATGAGTGATTAAATTTTGATAAACTATGAGAAAAAAACCCAGAAAAAGACAAAATATTGTTATTGAGAGCCATGTGGTGTATTTCAGATGGCTCCAAAGTAACACAAACCACTACTGGGTGCAGACAACACTCAAGGTGCTGCCATCTGTTGGAGATTTCCTCCAGAAACATTTATCAAATGTATTATATTCCAAGAATTCTCATCTCCCACGGCAACAGGTTCTTCATGCCTGGGTGGTGGTGTCCAAGGTCATCAGGAACAACACAGCAAAAGAAGCTGAGGTAATGGATTGAAAATTAATTGAAAATTTTGGTTTGAAATTTCTATTTTGAAATCTAGCATGATTAGACATTTTTAAACAGGCTTACAGTTGTTATTAGTCCCATACCAGTGAAACCGGGTGGACTAGAGTTTTCCTCTCCGTCCGTCTGTGTACATACGTAACACCAATGTTTGTCAGCGCTCTAGCAGCTTCATTCCTTGAGGGATTTTGATCAAACTTCACACAAATACAAAAGACCATAATATCTCGGAAAAGTTTGAATTTCATGGTCGTTAGGTCAAGGTCCCCATTACTATTTTTAGAAAATCCTTGTCAGCGCTCTAGCGACTTCATTTCTTGAGGGATTTTGATCAAACTTCACACAATTACAAAGGACCATAATACCTCGGACAATGTCGAGTTTCAGGGTTGTAGAGTTGAGGTCAAGGCCACCATTACTATTAATACAAAATCCTGGACAAGTTGAAGCCAGTGAGGGACTGATTGATATATTATAATCAAGCATCGATCGATTTGTTCTGTTTGATTCCGATTATCGATAAAAAAAAATCCATAATCGATATAATCGGTTCATTACTGAACTTAAAGTGTCAAATGTGTATGTTATATACAGTATACATGGAAATTCATTTATTCTGTCAGCAGACATATTATGTACCCATGTCACCTTGACAGGATTACCTGTTGGATAGCCAGATGATTAGATCATTGGAGACAGAACTAACAGGACTGAAATGAATACAATGTCACACATTCAGTTTTAATAAAGTCAAAGATCACTGTAAACTGGGTTCCCCGTAAACTGTTCCCTTTTACCTGATTTGATGTTCCTGTAACTGTTGTAGGATTCTGCCTTGCTACGGGAGGCCCTGTACAGTAGTTCTGAGGAGACCAGGTTGGAGGCCATCACTTTGATATGCTGCTCTCTCCGTAAAGCTGGTAGGTATTCAACAGGCTTCTTTACTTTATGACTTGTAGGTACTCAAAGTATTTCTGTACTCATAGGGCTGGTACGAGCTTAACAGGTTTCTGTACTTGCAAAACTTTTAGGTACTCAAATAGTCTAATCCCTGTAATAGTGAGAGACTATTACAGTGTGTTGTGTTGTTTCACTCTGTAGAATCCCTGTCAGAAAGAGACTGCACCCTGCTAATGGAAATCCTGCCAGACAACCTGAAGATTGACTCGGCCCCATTCAGACAATACCTTGGAGCCAGCATGAGGAAGCTCCTGGCCAGAGTGCGGGACAGCTGTCTTGCGAAACTTAAGGCTGGGAATGATACCTTGCTAGGTTGGTACAAGTTTGACTGTATATGAGGTTAATATTTGCTGCATTGGTTTATTTTGTTGGCAGGTGAATTGTCAAAATCAATATGACTGCAAATACTTACTCTGAAATCTGCCTGTGTGTAATATCTTTGTCTACGAGGGGCATTTATAGAAAATGAAAGTAACATCACCACTAACCAGAGTAACCACCACTAACCAGGGTTACATTTAAATGTCTTGTAAGTTGATTTCTAAGTAAGGCTACCAGATAGTTTTAATCAGAATCCATTTGTCAGGCCTCTTTGGTGTGACAGTAACAGACTGTCATGTCAGTTGAAGTTCACAGCAGCCTGTACTATATATACCTGGTAATCTATTGGACTAAAAAGAAATGTTTTGAAAACATAACAAAATTGTGGTTTGCATCATGTCGATGCAGAAAGATTATAAATACATTAATATTAGAATCTGCTTTTGTTATTTCTGATTAAATTTGGTTGCGTTTGTATCATATCAACTTTGACCTTTATAGTTAAGTTGAGACCCGTTTGTATCAGATTCCTCATTAGCCTTTGTGGAGTGGCTGCAGTGCCTGTGTATTAACAGCCTGATGACTGGGGCTTGTTACCAGCGACGAAAGACGTGTCTCGACCTTCTGACCATTCTGTACGACACAATGGTATATCAGACCAACTCCAAACAGAGGAAGTCATTTACACCAGGTAAAGTTTACAGGTGGTCTGTTAAAGACACTTGAGTGCTTACAACAGGTAAAACATCACAGCTATTAACCTTCATGTAGAGTTTAAATTTATATTACAAGTCACATATCTATATCTTCAGAAAAAATATAATTTACATTTGATTTACTAAAGGTAACAAATATAGTTCTATTTGATTTGTAGTCCTTGCATTTCAATACAATCTTGGAGAGAATTTTATCAAACGAACTGCATTTCAGAGTCCACATTGACGTTGGTGGCCTATGCCAGGGAACATGATTTGTGGGATTTCTTCTCTGCATCCAACACAGTCTGTGTCCTCCACTGCCTGTGTGATGGAGCTGACGAGGTAAACCAATATATAGGGTTCAACCAACATATCAGGGCTTGACTTTGACATAACTTCATTTACTTCTGAACAGATTTTATTTAGAATTTAATGGCATTACTGATTTAAACTTAAATATTTTTGAAGAGTTCACATGACATTTTGATACCAAACCTGTCACCGATTGTTGTTGATTGTATTTGAATAGATCCAGGAGATGTCTGCCAACCTGCTGATGAAGTATTTTCATTGGCCGATGTCATCAGATTCTTCTTGGATGAATATGACCCAGGAGGACCTAGCCTGCCACCTGCTTACACATGCTCTCAACTGTTGTAACAGCCCAAAGGCTTCAGAGAGTCAAAGTGGAGCACTGCTGACAAAGATCATCTTCACTAAGTAAGTCAGAGCAGAACACTGTTGACAAAGATCATCTTCACTAAGTAAGTCAGAGCAGAGCACTGCTGACAACAATCATCTTCACTAAGTAAGTCAGATTGGACCGCTGCTGACAAGTAAAAGAGGTTCAACAGAAGTTTAAATTCTATAGCTGTATTTAGAAGTTAAGCAAACTTGATTAGTTCATAGAAGTAAAATATTTTATCTAATGCATTACTTAAAAAGGCATGAGCAATTTCAATATAGGAATCTATTTTGTTGTATTCCTATACCTGGAATGATCAGGTGTACTAGTGATTGATTCCAGATGTAATTTTGTACTGACAGGTATGTGGTAGAGCAGGGTTGGACCTTTGACATGACCCTCACTGACGATGGAGCCTGTTGTTCTGTCCTGCCAATAAAAACACAAAGAGAAGATAATACATCTGTAAACACTCCAAGAGAAGATAATACGCCTGTAAACACTCCAAGAGAAGATAATACGCCTGTAAACACTCCAAGAGAAGATAATACGCCTGTAAACACTCCAAGAGAAGATAATACGCCTGTAAACACTCCAAGAGAAGATAATACGCCTGTAAACACTCCAAGAGAAGATAATACGCCTGTAAACACTCCAAGAGAAGATAATACGCCTGTAAACACTCCAAGAGAAGATAATACGCCTGTAAACACTCCAAGAGAAGATAATACGCCTGTAAACACTCCAAGAGAAGATAATACGCCTGTAAACACTCCAAGAGAAGATAATACGCCTGTAAACACTCCAAGAGAAGATAATACGCCTGTAAACACTCCAAGAGAAGATAATACGCCTGTACTCTTTCTCAGAACACTCATCTCTTTTATCGTTAAAACCATGGAAACTTCCAAGACCAATGTTGTTTTAGCCTCAAAGACATCGCCTGTCCATGGTAATAATTCTGTTTGAATTTTGTCTGCGCTTCATTTGTAACTTTCTATCCTTTAATTATTCCTTAACTAAACTTTTTGCAGTGCATGAAGTTGAAAAATGACACATTTGAAAGGAGTATTTTAGTATGGGAATTAAAACATTATAAGTCACATGACTGCTAGGCCATTAAAAGAATCAGGTTTTTTTCGAGTTGAATAATTAAGAATTTTATTTTGCATACCTTGATATGCATCAAGTAAACCTATATAATGTATAGATAAGTTTTGTTTTGTTCCATGTGACACAACTACATCCAAGGTAAGCATCAGTTTTGTAACATTAGGAAAAAGATTCGATCACAACAGGCGAAGGAGCATGTAGTTCTTGTAGTTCATTAGAAGTGTCGACCTGTTTCACCCCTACAGTGGGCTTCTTCAGGATCTCCTGACCTACTTTCGGGTATCCAGACGAGGAGCAATGGACCAAATTATTCCACCATTGAAGTACCACGGCCTAGTTCTGTAACATGTAACAGCACCATACAAAGATGTCTGGTAGTCATGGTGCAGCGTCCGATGTCGGTGTATCAACTATCATTTAAATAACTAGTAGTTCTGGACAGCAGAATGTATACTAACTAAAATTGGCGTGGAGCATCCCTGGGTGAAGGAGACTCTGTGTTGTGTAAATGAAGTATTTCCCCCTGGGGTAGAGGGGGTGGACCTAGTAGGGAAATTACCAGACTAGTAAACATTTAAAAGGCTGCTCCATCAATACAGACAAAGAGATTTTAGCCTAATTTGGTAAAAAGGATCCCTGGGCCATGTGAAATCAACACTGTGTGTAAATAATGTGTATGAACCCAAACAGGAAGGAGGGAGGGTAGAGGGTTGGGGTCCAATTTGACTCAATGTTTAAAAGACTGCTATTTCAGTACAAATAAAGGAACTTTAAACTTATTTGGTATTATTGGGTCAAGGAGAGAGGGCATAGGATTGGGGCTTAATAGTTGAAATAGAATATAAAATAATGATGCAAAACATGCAAAAATATACCACCCTTTTATTTGTTCAATTATGTGCACATTGCTTGTTAAATGTACGAAAGTGATTGCAAGCCTTTGTTGTTTGTTTTCACAATTATAACCATTACTATTATTCATATGTTGTAAAGCGCCTTAGAGTAATTTTACAAATTATATAGGGCGCTATATAAATGCTGCATAATATTATTATTATTTTATGATTTGATCCCTGATAAAGAATTATTTAAAACATTTATTTCTGAAATTTTGTCCTTGTTGCCTATATTTATTTTGCTCTTTCCATAGACAGATACCAAATTCAACATACAATTGTAATATATATATGCAGATCAAGTTCAGGCCCCTGGGCTGCTTGTTGAAATATCATTATTATAGTGAACTGTTTTACAGGATTTGTTGCGGCCTGTACAAGATGCATAACTGAGACTCCAAACCTTCTGTACAAGCATCCCATTGACTTGGATAGAGTTGTCAAGGAGATGATAACGTTGGATATAGATGTGATTGGTACTATGCTGAAAGTGATGGCTAAAGACAGTGAGAAGGGTGAGTTAATGACTTAGATACAGTTGTCAAGGAGATGATAACGTTGGATATAGATGTGATTGGTACTATGCTGAAGGTGATGGCTAAAGACAGTGAGAAGGGTGAGTTAATGACTTGGATACAGTTGTCAAGGAGTTGATAACGTTGGATATAGTTGTGATTGGTACTATGCTGAAAGTGATTGCTAAAGACAGTAAGAAGGGTGAGTTAATTACTTCGATACAGTTGTCAAGGAGATGATAACGTTGGATATAGATGTGATTGGTACTATGCTGAAAGTGATGGCTAAAGACAGTGAGAAGGGTGAGTAAATGACTTGGATACAGTTGTCAAGGAGTTGATAACGTTGGATATAGTTGTGATTGGTACTATGCTGAAGGTGATGGCTAAAGGCAGGGAAAAGGGTGAGTTAATGACTTGGATACAGTTGTCAAGGAGATGATAACGTTGGATACAGATGTGATTGGTACTATGCTGAAAGTGATGGCTAAAGACAGTGAAAAGGGTGAGTTAATTACTTGGATACAGTTGTCAAGGAGATGATAACGTTGGATATAGATGTGATTGGTACTATGCTGAAGGTGATGGCTAAAGACAGTGAGAAGGGTGAATTAATGACTTGGATACAGTTGTCAAGGATATGATAACGTTGGATATAGATGTGATTGGTACTATGCTGAAGGTGATGGCTAAAGACAGTGAGAAGGGTGAGTTAATGACTTGGATACAGTTGTCAAGGAGATGATA